ACGCAAATGATTGTTGCAGAAAATAAATGACTGAGATTTATGAAGCTTTCAGTGCAGTAAAAGCTACAGGGCTACCATATTCAGTCAAAGCTCTGGTTTTTATTCATGAATTATTCACAGCGTAACTGATCACAAGATCATTTTTCAAATTTTATTGATATTATGGTCATCGTACTCAATTCTTTATTTGTTGACGTAAACAAGACACAAGTTTGGAGTATGATTATGGTTCTTTAGAAGGCAGGTCTGAAGCACAACTAGACAGATGGATTGGTAGGTAGTTGATAGGTAGGTAGTTGATTGGTAGGTAGTTGGTAGCCAGGAAGATAGGCTCATTTTTATGGTTGTTGTTTTTTCATAGGGGACATCCCACCAGCTACTTTGGAGGTAGCTGATAACTGCTCTATTTTAGGGCTTTGAATGAAGTTCAGGCTGTCTTCCTCTCAGCACTGTGACAAACCACAAATGGAAGAAAGAAAATAAGTGCATATCAAATTAGTCTGTCAAAAATATTGAGCGCGTTTGAACATTACTTAAAGTATGTGCTTATAATGAGGACTGCAACAGGTGCAACAAGTGCACTTCAAAGAGAACTCCAAGAAGAACAGATACATCATTTTTAATTGTAGAAAACATTGCTCTTTGCCATTGTCCAGTAATTGAAATTAAACTGTAGAACACAACAGCTCCAAGTGATAACTGTAACTTCATATCACCTAAAGGGAAAGTGAGCAATTTCGTGAAGATGTGACTGGATATTCCCCCCTTCAATAAAGTTATTTCTTTCCATCCCCAAGGGCGTTTCTCGCAATGGCCTTTGTGAAATAGAAGCTCAGTGACTTTGCCCGCAGAAATCCTCTGCTGTTTCTAAGTCGTCACCGGTTTTGCTTCAAGACAAGAGTACACATGGCAAAGCATCACCCTCTGTAAATACAACTCTGTCTCTTATGGTCGAGCTAATATACTTTAATGAATTCCTCATGAGGAAATATGAATTGTGGCCAGCTTCCCTGGTGTGTCCAGGGAGCTCAGATATGAAAAATGGAAGCATATCTTTTTTGCTGTGTTTTAAGATGAGAAAGAAGATGCTAAGATATGAGAAAAGGAAACAATAAATTTGACAATCAGATATGGAGATATTCAGCATACATTAAGGTATTTACATGCAATTTATGAAT